GTGGGGGGGGGGGGGGGGGGGGTGTACAAGGCAAAAGTGGACAAACGGGGAGGGGGGTAAAAAATAGCAAAAAATTGGTGGACGTCTTTTATGGAAGGCCCCTATTACTTTTTCTAGTACTAGGTATAATCATATGATTCAACAGATTCAGCCTCTGCATTTGAAATCATAAAATCACTGTCTGAATCATCAGAGTAATATTTTCCACCTTTATTAGATCAATCACCAGATGGGTCAGGTCAAGATTTCATGTTTTTAAACAAAAATAAAATGGACAATCAAAACAACCGCTTCAAACACTTCGCTCTTTGTTCAAACACAGAAAAACCCGGATGTCTATGCAAAGGGAATCATTATATGATTGATTTAAAATAACTAAATACCAATAGCTAAGAAAGAACTGAAACAAACAGGTTTTTATAAAGCTGTTCTTTAGAACTTAACATAATGAATGCCGTTAAATGTGTTATAACTATAGATACAAAGCTCATTGATTTAATCCTTTCCGGATTCACATGTAATAAAATATATATAAAATAAAGCTTAGTAAATTATTTATAGCGTAACTGAATTTTCTTTTTTAATCTGGCTAATTTACTTTGATCATGTCTTTTTTGTCAACCATAAGAATACTCTCCCCTGATGTATCGATGCCTGCACGGCCAGCTCTGCCAATCATTTGTTTGTACTGGCTGAATTTGATGAAGTCTTTACCAATGTAAGGACTCCTAATGATAACTCTGGAGAAAAATCAAAGTAACAGTTTTAGACCCATTACTATTATATTATATAAGGTGAAACAAATACCAACAGACATCCATTCAACAAAATTTTGACAAGATTTTGACAAACAAGAAGTAAGAATTATGACAGTGTCAACTATGCATCAACAGAATGGGTCTCTGATAACTTAAAGTTATGGATCAGGCCATCAAAAACTATGAAGCAATTATCTAGACTAAGATAATCATTAATTAACTATTATTATAATATGATCACTTTCATGGTGCTGGAAACTATAGATTTTCAGTGCAAACATACCTATTTTTATATTGTTTCGTGTGCAGAATTTTTTCCCTAAACCTTTGTCTTGCTTTATTTTTAAAAAGATTAACATGTTCTATTATACTGTTTAAAATTTGATAAGATATCTTGCTTTGTTAATTTTTTGTGAATTTTTAAAAATCTATGAATTTTATAGTTTTTGTGTACATGTCATGCTGAAATAATTTCTGTAAATTATTTTGTGGGTTTCACCTTTGTATGATGATTTCAAATTGTTGTACTTTAAATTACCTTTGACCTGTATCTTTAGAATAGCTTAATTGATTTTTTGAAAATGAACTTAAATTGACTTTTTGTCTCCCTTTTAATATGTTGTATAATTGATCATACACTAGTTTTCTGATAAATAAAAATTGTATTTACATTTTCCTGACAACCCTGAAAAAATTGAGTTTGTTAAATTTATTTACAGATTTGAACTTTCTAACTTAGTTATTTTCATGTGTCAAAACTACACTTTCTTGGCATCTAAAAATTGACCCAGTTCCTGATTTTTAAGAAATTAATAATTTTTTTTAATATAGAGTTAAAATGTGTGGTTCTTTTCTGATAAAGCCAAGGTCTAATTAGGGGGATAGTTCAATTTCATTTATATTCATTATGAAATTTTCATATAGAATACCTATATTCAGTTGCTTGAATATTACAAACCTTTTGGCAGGAAGGTTAACTCCAGCAGCCAAAGTTGTAGTACATGTAAGAATGCAGAGAACTCCATTTGAATAAGCCTTTTCAATTAAACTCCGCTCGTCCATGGTCAAACCACTGTGATGGTAAGCAATGCCATAAGGGATGGTGTCTTTTAAAACTTCACAAATCTTCCCACCACCGTCTCTCAACAGCTTTTCCCTAAGTTGATTGCGCTCATCTTTCTTAACATTCTGCAAGTATCTGTTGTACGTACGTAGATACATTTGTTTATTTTTAAAATCCAACCTAAACATATAGCACAGCTTAAATTAAAGTGGATCAAATTTTTTCTTAATTTAAGAATGAAATTTAATCATGCAAAAGTACTACAGAATTTGTCTGTCAATTATTAGAACTTACACATCTTTACAGTGTAATATACACACAATTTGCTTCAAAATAACAGATTTAAAGATAATTTAAGATTGATATAATTGAAATAAAAATAAATTGATTTTAATCCAGAATGTAATTGCAATTTTGAAGCACAAAGATTGTTCATCACAATAATTAAATAATTAAATAACCTGCAGTTTCGTAACATAAGTGTGCTCAACAGTTTGGCAACATTCTCACAGCTTTTCTGTGTGGGACAAAATATTAAACATGATTTCTTTGGTATGACATCAGACACCAGACCCAGCAGGAGATCTGGGTCTTCGCGGAGGCGCTCCTCGTCGTACTGGGGGGAACACATTAAATAAATAAGTTTACAGTTGAAAAGCTTTGGTTTAAAATATATTAAATCCTCAATCAGATATAGAAATTGGTTGAAACTAATAGAGTAGGCATAAGTGTTAGAAAGTTGATTCTTGAAAGTTGATCAATGGTAAACTACTATAACAAAAAAGTAGATAAAAGGTGAAGAACTTTAAAACAGCTGATAAAAATGTAGTACTATTAAGACATTGGCAAAAGGGTTGGCACTATAAAGTACAAAAAAAAAGAGGAAAAGAGAATCACAGACCTGTTTACCCTCAAGCTCTTAAAATCGTACAATATCATCACAAAATCGTTCAATACATTATCTTAATAGTAACAAAATAAACATATAGTATATATAATGTATACTGGTACACCTTAAAATCGTACATTGTACGCCAAAATCGTAAGAGTAAACAGGTCTGGAATCATTGCGGTTATAACTTTAAACCATTTGAATAATTAGTATGCCCCCATTAAAAAAGATAAATATAGATACCTGATAATTTAGGACACGGTAGTCCTCAAGCTTGCTGTCCTGATCCAAAGCTTTTTGATTTACTTTGAGCAACTTGTCCTCCACTTTGACATATTCCTCCAATATAACCTGATAGATTTTTTCAAACAAATGTCTGAGCTGTCTCATTATACTGGATTTATTGTATTGTCAACCTGAAGGCCAACACAGTTCTTATACCATAACAATTTACACCACCCTCACAGACATTTTCCGCACTTCCAATCATATTACTTGCATCCATTTAAAATAATCTCCTCTGGCATTAAACATGGAAGTGATTAACATGTTTTGCACAATGAAACTAAATATAATTTTTAAAAGTTAAGGAGCTCCAAACACTACTATATTTGGTTTTCAATTTAATCAACAAACGGCTTTCCAAATTAATTGCATTCTTGTGTTACTTATTGAAAGCCAATATTTTCGGAATGAAACAAAACATTATTTAGTTGGCACACACAGGTCTGAAGTCATTGGAGTAAACCTCTGCAGCCAAGAACTCCTGTAGGTCCTTGATGTTGGTGAGGGTTGCACTCATGCCTATGATCTGTGTGTCTCCTGAAATACATCATTGAACCAACCGTCAGTATTTGATGTAAACACTTTTTGTGATAGATTTCAATAATAGGAAATATGTAAAAACCTCCATGGACATAATTTTTGGATTGCCACCTTGGAACATACTAAGCCTGCATAGAGCAGGAGCCTTGGCCAACCTAATAGACAAACGACTCAAAGGCAGACCTAAGCATAGATGGATGGATGATGTGGAAAAAAATCTACTGCAACTTGGAATTAGTTAGGTCTGAGCGGAAGAAAGTTGTGATCCAGGCCAAAGTCATTCATGAGCTGTAGAACCACAAGGATAGATGCTAATACTGAATTTTTTAAAGAGAATAAAGTGTACTTTTAATAATAGGTCCTCTATCAAAGTCTTTCTTAAAATAATAATATGTTTATACAAAGAATGGAGTTCTGGAGGACGGTTATATATTCAATACAATTATATTCGGCAGTGCCCTTCATAATTATTTTGGACACAAATAGAATAGAAACTTAATAGAAAAATACCAGCCAAGCTAAAAATTTTTTATCCTTGCTGTTGTGAGCTAGTTTGTTGAGAATCGTGAGTGTTTTGTTAGTTGTTGATCGTGAGGTCAGAGCGTGAAGTTAGTCCGTGGTGTGGAACGTTTGCGTAGGCTGAGTTGTTGTGTGGTATTATAAAAGGGAGGTGTGTTAGCTAGAGGTCAGAGAGAAGAAAGTCAGACAGAGAGAGTCAGGGAAGAAAGGTAGAGCAAGAGAATTGTTAGTCGTCAGAGTTGTCAGTTAAGAGTTAGTCAGTAGCGATAGGAGCGAGTGGATAATTGGTATTTGGACTGATGTGTATCCTGCTTTGTAAAGAATCTAATACATATTATATATATAGTTACACTGGACCTTTGCGTTTTATGTGAGAGATTCATACACCCTAGACAACCAAGAGAGAGCCGTAACACGTAAAGTATAACAGAGGTTGTAACACTTGCATTATTGAAATAATTAAGATTAATGCAAGATTGCAAATTTATGAGTTAATCACTTTATATTATAGTGAAAAAAAAGTTTAGATTTTGTAATTTAAAAAATAACATTTGCATAAGTATTTATAATTTTTAGATTGAAGGTAAACTTTACAACGCTTAAAAAATGTTACCCACTCTTTGCTGTTGTAATTTTCATGAGGGTGGCTTCTAACGTTGCTCCTCTAGATCCACCTTCTCCAATCATGTGGAGCTGGAAATCAATTAAAAAAATTAGAATTCATTTCACAAAAGAACCCACAAACATAATTATGTTCCTCTGCGTCTAAAAAAATAAAATATTTACATTTTCTTTTCACATGAGCGACTTGAATCAAATTATTTTCTAGTCACAATCAAAAAAGAAAAATTAAAAGCTTTAAAAATACAATGTCCCATAGGACAGAGAGAATATCTATGGCTGCCTTTTATGTTTCTTTTTCTCTCAGATAATAAGGCTCAAAATGTTGATATCAAATAAAAGTGAAAAATGTAGCATCAAAGCCCCCATTTTGCGGCTTGCATATTTACCGTATTTTACGGACTATAAGAGGCACCTTAATTTTTAAATTAATTTTTAATTTTTTTTTTTAATTTAATTTTTACTATTTGTATAACAATATTGAGTATAAGACACACCTGAATTTTGGAGGCAATTTTTTGAAGAAAAAAGTGTGTCAATGACAGCTTTTTAATATTTTTTCACTACATTAAAATCAACTAGTCATCCTACTTCATCATTTCAGCTGATTTTAACTTAACGGTTTCATCTCTTCAATGAAAATGACATGATATAATCATTTATCTCACCTCATCTACCACAACAAGGCCTAGTGAGGCAATACTGTCAGTCTCTATAAAACTGTTCACCAGTGCATGAGCTTTCTCTATGGTTGCTATGTACAATGACTGCGTCCTCTGTCTTTTGGTTGGTGGAAATCTACCTTTGCTGCCAGCATATTCTTCCACAATAAAACCTAACTCCACAGCAAATTCTGAGATGTTTCGAACCTAATGTGTTGATTAGTAAGTAAATTTATTTTTACTATGAATAAGAAATAATAAGTCATTTTTGACTGATTTTTTCTCTTTATTGCCTGGATAAATGACATTGTTTATTAAGTCTGATTACAAGGGACTTTCAAAAATATCCAACTGACCCTCACTTTCCTGTCTATCTCTCTGAACTGTTGCTTCCTTACATCCCCACAAGACAACTACGTTCTTCCATTGACAGTAGAACCCTCTCAATCCCAAGAACTAAAACTAAGACCATCGGTGAACGCTCCTTCTGCTTCCATGGGCCCACGTTCTGGAACCAGCTCCCCTTCCATATACGTCATAGTGAAACCTCGTCCATTTTCAAAAAGTCCCTTAAAACTCATCTGTTTAGGTCCGCCTATGACCTGTGATGCACCCTCCTTGCCCTACCTCATTTTCTGTTTCGGGTTGATCCTGAAGTGTCAAAGTGTCCTCGTTTTATAGCCATTTTCATTGTTTCTATAGAATAGTAGTTACTATCCTAGTGTCTCATTTGTATTTACTTAGTTTACATGTTTTAATAATTGTAAAGCGCTTAGAGCTTTATGATAAGCGCTATATAAAAATAAAAATGCCTAAATAAATAAATATCCTCTGATCAAAATTATTTTTAAAAAACTGCTATGAATTTTTTTTTTAAAATTAGCTTTTTACCTATTTTATTTTATATTATGGTTGGTTTAAAAAAAACACTAATAACTAGTCTAACCTTTTCTTGAACACTGGAAACAAAAGGTAAAATCAGCAGTGTGTCTTTTTCATAACACAGCAGCTCTCTCATGATGAGCACCTCTGCCACAAGGGTCTTCCCGCCGCTGCTGGGTAGACTACAAATAAGGTTTCTGTGTTCCTTCACAGCCTTCATTTGTAAACACTCATTCTGCCAGTCTGGATTTTTAAATATTTAATTTAATTACTAGTGAAAACTATACTTGATATCAACCAGCATTTGTCTTTGAATAAATAATTTGTCTTGGATAAAAAGTCTGTTAATTTAATAAAATAATTCAAAGTTATAAACAAATTTAGAAATGTTTCTAATATAATGGTTTACTCTTGACTTCTATTAACTTACTAGGGTGAGATCTAACATCCCAATTGAAGACCTCAGCGGAAAAACCAGACATGTCACATTTTGCAGATTTTGAGAAAAGTGGATTTTAAAGTTTGAAAGTATCCAATATTTTCACATGTTAAAATAAAATGCTATAATTTTGTTTCTAGTTAGTGATACCATTTTACTTTCAGTTATTAAATATTTTGTGACAATTTACTATATTTTTACAACTACATTTTTACAGCTTTTTACCGGGCTGACCCAACATTGTGACTTGTCTGCTTTTTCCACTGAAAATGGAAAACTTTCTTTTAAACCATATTTTATGGCTTTTGAAAGGCCATTACTTATCTACTTCATCACAAAGTCAACTTAAGTGACCACTTTTAATAATAAAACCAATTGAGGCCGAAAACCCTCCTGTTATATTAAAACAAAAAAATAATTAAAAGTTATCATTTTTTTTTTTTAAATCTAAAGCCAAGGAAGTGTTCAGTGTACACGCCACTGATATCTTGTACTGTTTGTGTAATGAGTCAATGATAATATAATAAATTATATCAAATTTATACTTTCACAATTTCATTATCATTCAGTTTGTTAAAAATTATATGTAACACATGACCCTGAACTGGTATTGAAGTTAATGAAATTGGAATATGCTTGTTTTATGCTATTTTTACACACACTAGCACTAGCATCAGTCATCGCTCAATTGACTGTAAGGGTAGTGATTTTCATTCAAATAAAATAAAGAGATTATGGCCTGCATTTTCAACAACAATGAAAAGATAGAGATAGTTATAGTGTGTTTAACAGCTTTTAATCGGGAAGGATCACTTGCAATAGCACAATTTATGTTGTAAGGCCAATATTGTATTGTTCTCATCACTGCTGTCAGTGGTCTGATTAAAACAATGCATGAAGCAGGAGACCAGCATACTTTTTGTTCTGTTTTCTTTCTTTGCCTTTTTTTGACAATTATTTATCAGAGGCAATGTTTAACAGAGATGTAACTTCGTAACACAATAAGCATGCTGAGCTTAATCTAAGAAATACAACACTGATGCACTGGCAAAGTAGACTAACGATTAAACTTAATCCTAAGCCTAAACGTTCATCATTTGATTCTAATCACATAAACCTTGCACAGTGACTATCTTTACCCAATGTATGACTAGAAGACTTTGCTTCATAAACCTCTTTTTCTTTCTCCCGTTTAATTTTCTCTTTAAGATTATATTAGATAACAATAGTAATAGTAGCAGTTAATGTATGGTGTAATTTCCACGTTGTACAATTGACCTACATTCTTTATTTATTTACCTTTTCCTTACTTGCCATTGGTTTTAAGCACACCGCGTGATACTAAGGGAGGTTACTTTGATTTTTTATTCTACATTTTCACTGGACATGTCTGATTCTTCCAAAGTATACACTATTGTAAATCCCCGATTACTCGTAAACGAGGTGATTTGTGCAGTAGTATTCAGTGTCATCTGAAGCTTTATTATGGGGGGGGGGGGGGGGG